ACAACCCAATTAAAAAATGGGCAATGGACCTAAATAGACACTTCTCCAAAGAGAATATACAAATGGCTAAGAGACATATGAAAAAATGCTCAAAGTCACTAATCATCAGAGAGATGCAAATTAAAACAACAATGAGTTATCACTTCACACCTGTCAGAATGGCTACCATCAACAAGTCAACGAACTACAAGTGCTGGTGTGGAAAAAAAGGCACCCTACTACACTGCAGGTGGGAATGCAGACTGGTGTAGCCACTATGGAAAGCAGTATGGAGTTTCTCAAAAGATTAAAAATTGACCTGCCTTTTAACCCTGTGACCCCACTTCTAGGAATATATCCTAAGGAACCCCAAACACCAATCGCAAAGAACTTATGCACCCTTATGCTCATAGCAGCACAATTCACAATAGCTAAGATTTCGGAACAGCCCAAGTGCCCATCAGTAGATGAGTACCATGAGGTACTATGTGGCTGTGAAGAGGAAGGACCTTTTGGCCTTTGGCACAGCATGGAGGGAACTAGAAAGTACTATGCTAAGTGAAATGAGCCAGTCAGAGAAGGACAAGTACCAAATGATCTCACTTATATGTGGAATATAATAAACAAAATAAACTGATGAACAAAGTGAATACAGTAACATAGAAGCTTGGAACAAACTGAGGGATCTCAGAGGGAAGGTGGGGAGGGGCATGTGAGTGGGGAGAGATTAGTCAAGGAACTTGTATGTTTATGAGCATGGCCCACGGATGTGGACATTGGTGTGGGGAAGCCCTGGGCTTGGGATGGATGTGGGGTGGAGGGGATCAGTGGGGTTAAAAGCGGGACATCTGTAATGGTCTCAACAATGAAGATAAAGAAACATAAAAAGAAAAAAAGAAAAAGATTATTTGAAGTAATAATGAAATGCTTATTGCATACACCAAATTACAGTTCCAGGAACTCAGAAAACAAAAAAGCAAGGAGAATATATTCATTTTTTTTTCCTTTTTCCACCACAGCTTGGCATAAGATATTCAAACTGCAGAAAATCAAAAAAAGAAGAAAAAAAAAGAAAAATTATAAAAGAAGCAAGCTGGGAGAAAACCATACCTGTAGAAAAGCAAGGACAAGATTTACAACAGAGTTCTCTACAAAAACCATGCAAGCAAGAAGAGAGTGGAATGGAATATTTAACATGTTGAAAGAGAAAATAAATACCTAACCAAAACTTTCTACTCAGTGATACTATCCTTCAAAGGTAAAAGAGAAAAAAATTTTGTCATACAAACAAAAATTGAGCAAAGAATTTTACCAGCAGACTAGCCAAGCAAAGAAACGTTAAAATGAGTTCTTAAGAAAGAATTATATAGGTCTGAAATTTGGATTTCTATAAAGAAAGGAGGAGGATTGACAAGGAATAAATGAACTTAAAATGAAATATTTTTTTCTTTATTCTTAATTTATTTAGCACTTAACAGTATATTCAAAATAGTAATAGCAACAATAAATTTGGCAACTTTAAACATAAGGATAAGCAAAATAAATGACAGCAATATTATATGGGCCAGGAGAGAGGAATTAGTAAAAGTCTGCTTTTAGGTAACTGCACTAACCATAAGTTATTGGATATAGTATTATTTGAAAACTGAATTGGACTTGTTATAAATGTATGTTGCAAATTCTAGGTCAGCCACAGAAGTAGCAAAATAAGAACTATAATTGTAATGCTAATAGATAAGAAAAAATGGAATTTTATACAATGCTCAGTTAAAACCAGAGATGTAGGAATAGATGAAGTGAAAGCAGATACCAAATACAGGGAAATGAATGGAAAATGGTTACAAATATGATAGATATTAATCCAACTATTTCAATAATCACTTTAAATGTCAATGGTTTAAATACACCAATTAAAAGATAAAAACTACCAAAGTGGGTAAAAAATACCTGAATGTATCTAATTTACAAGAAACCAACTTTAAATATAAAGAGAGATGGGTTAAAAGTAGAGGGATTAAAAAAGACATACTATGCTAACATTAGCCAAAGGAAAGCTGGAGTTGTATTGATTTCAGACACACCAAACTTCAAAGCAATAAAAATGATCAGGGATAAAGAAGGTCATTACATAATGATAAAGGGGTCAACTCTCCAAAAAGACATAACATTCCCTAAGGTGAGTGTGCTTAACAACAAAGCATCAACATAAGAGAGGGAAAAATCTGATAGAACTGCAGGCAGAATAAAACTAATTCACTTTAGTAGTTGGATACTTCAACACTCATCTATCAGTAATTGACAGATCCAGCAAGCAGAAAATGAGTAAATACAGAGTTAAACTGAATAGCACCATCAATCAACTGGATCTAATTGACATTTATAAATTCTTTATCCAACAACAGCAGAATACGTATTCTTCTCAAACTACTTTGATCATTCTCCAAGACTAAAAACTTTCTGGGAAATAAAACATGGTTTTACAAATTTAAAAGAATAGAAATTATACAAAATATGCTCTCAGATCCAAATGAAACTAAAATAGAAATCTTTGACAGAAAAATACCTTAAAACCCACAATACATAGCTATTAAATAGCATACTTCTACAGAACACATAGGTCAAAAAGAAGTGCTAGATAAATTTAAAATATTTTAATCAAATGAAAATAAATATAACATTTATCAAAATTGGTGGAATGTGATTAATGAAGGGCTTAGAGGAAAATCTATAGAATTGCATGTGTATATTACAAAGAAGAAAGATATCAAGTGACTTACTGAAGCTTCCATCTCAGAAAAGAAAAAAAGATCAAATTAAATGGAAAGAAAACAGGAAAAAATAAATAATAATGTTAGAGCAGGAATCAATAAAATTAAAAACAGAAATTCAAAGAAAACAAAGCCTGAGTATTTGAAAAGATCAATAAAATATATGAATTTCTAACCAGGCTAACTAAGAAAAAAGAGGGAAGTCATAAATCACTAATATTAGAAATGAAAGAGAAGTCATCACCACAGATGCTACAAAAATTAAAAATTAATAAAGGAATATTAGAAATAGCTATGCTTACAAATCTGATAACATAAGTGAAATGGAACAAT